GTGTCCGTCCACCCTAGCCTGACCTGTGTTGGTAGCTGTCTCCCGTGTCCGTCCACCCCAGCCCGTCCCGTGTTGGTAGCTGTCTCCCGTGTCTGTCCGCCCCAGCCCGTCCTGTGTTGGTAGCTGGCTCCTGTGTCCGTCCGCCCCAGCCCATCCTGTGTTGGTAGCTGTCTCCCGTGTCTGTCCGCCCTAGCCTGACCTGTGTTGATGCAGCCCCAGCAGCTGTCGTCCAGTTGGTACATACCTGGCATATTCTCTCCTTTACTTCTGGGTCCTTATCATCAAGGCCTGTCTCTTAATTAGTCCATAATCCCGATTTTTAAAACTCTAGTCTGACAATCATTTTTTAACTAAAGAGTTCACTGCTTTAACATATGTAACTGATAGTTTACATGTTTGGATGAATTTTGACAATCTCATTGTGATAGTTGGAGCTGTGTGTCAACTTGGCTAGCCCACGATTCTGGGTGCTTGAAGCAGTTGTGATGTGAGCTATTCCCATGATGGGATCAGGTGCACATGTTTTGAGCAGCCAATCCGTTGAAAGGGAATTTCCCTGGGGGTGTGCTTCCAATATGTTTACAGACACCCTGGGAACATGAGATGCTCTCCCGCAGATCTGGGTCTGGGTCCGGATCCTGCGGTGCTGCCTACAACTGTCCGTGAGCGAACAATCCACCATTCGGCCTGGAGGTCTTGGATTCATCATTCATCGATGTCAACAGCCGGTCTACTGCCTGCCAACCCTAAGCTCATCAGCCCCTGCAGCTCCATGAGTCGGGAAAAGTCTCCAGCTTCACATTTGATCCAAGAACTTGGGACTTGCCAGCTTCTAGGAGTTCTGGTGGCATTGTGCCTAAGGCACTTGATTGCTAACCAGAAGGCTGGTGGTTCAAACCCACCAGCCACTCCTCGGAAGGAAGACTGGGCAATCTACTTCCATAGTGATACTGCCTCGGAAACCCAAGGAGGGGTTGCTATGAGTCGGGATCAACTTGACGGCAGTGAGTTTGTTTGTTATCCAGTATTTCCGTTATTTGAATCAGGGGAGTCATCTAATCTGGAAGTTTGCAGAAGTAGAAGTTCTGAGAACTTTCTGGAGCCTGCTTTGGCCTTTGGCCTGTTCTTCCCTTTTTACACACCACAGCAGACATAGTTGCATGCGCGTTTTTTCTTTGTTTTTGTTTCTCTCCCCACGTCCCCCTCCAGACCATGGGCTTCTCCAAGACAAGGAGAGAAGAAACCCAGTGTTGTCAATCCTGACATGGTCATGAAACGAGGAAGGTTGGGAAATGGGTGGAGAGAGTGGAATAAACGAATGAGACCTCATTCTGATGTAGAACCTGCTTTTTTACGTGAGGCTTTGTCCGCACAGCCCGTGACCTTCACATCCATCCCGTGCCCTAGGTCTGTGGTTTCTCTCTCTCGACGTGGAGGGGCAGAAAGGCATCTGTGTAGGATACGTGCATGTCAACAGCTGTTAACCACGGCTTCACCTCCATGCCGAGAAACACATTTCAACCAGGATGTGGTCACAGAAAGCCTCAAGACGGACCAGTAGGAAACATTTCAATGCCACCAAATGAAAACGCTACTTGCCAGTTAGAGTCACACCAAGCAGACTCAGGGCCTGTGGGTTTTAGCAGGCCTGACCAGAAGGTCCAGCCCACAGGCATCGGGAGCCTGGCAGAGAACAAGCTGGTCTGTCCGACGGTGCATGGATCTCTCAACACTCATCTTCCTTAAAATGGAACTGATCCCGATGCTTAAATATACACGGGTCCTTCAAGACCCGGCTTCTTCTCCCACCTACCTTCACACTTCTGACTCAGGGGAGAAGAACAACCCACCAGTAATTCATCTTCTTTAAGGCCTGCCGGCCAGCTTTCATGTGTGTGTGCGTGTGTGTGTGCGTGCGTGTGTGGTTCTTTTTTTCCCTTCACAGCTGAGTTATTTCTGATCTGGGTCTTGGCAAAAAGAAATAAAAAGCAACAGTGACTGGGAGACATTTGGAAGCCGGGCCAAGACAAACAGTGTCTAAAAGTCTACGTCTGATCTGGCCAACGCTGTGAAAATGTGTTTTAACTTTACAAAAATAACACCTTAAGAGACTCACAATGTAAAACGAGTGAAAACGAGGGTCAGAAAGGAAATACTTGGGAGTTACAGTGTGAGAAGGCTTCTCAGCCCCTGAACATGTGGCCCCACACACCTCTTCTGGAGACGCAGCCAGAATCACAAGACAGCGGAGCCAAGCCGCCCCGGAGGCCCCCGGGGGCGGTGACTCTCAGAGGTGAGAGTCAAGCTTGCCGGCAGACCTGCGCTTGAGGCCTTCCCCACCTCTCCTCGGCTGTGTGACCTTGGGCAAGTCACTTAACCTGCACTTCTGTTTTCTGAACTATAAAACAAGGATGATGATAATAAACCTACCTCATAATGTTGTAGTAACAATCAAATAAAATCATATATGTCATTATATATAATTATAGTGTTTACCAACTTCCTAGGGGCTCTGGTAGCATAGTGCCTAAGGCATCTGACTGGTAACCAGATAACTGGCAGTTCAAACCCACAAGCCTCTGGGTTTGAAGGAAGGAAGGTAGGGCAATCTACTTCTTTAGTGGTACTGCCTTGGAAACCCAAGGAGGGGTCACTATGAATCGGATCCAACTAGACAGCTGTGAGTTTGAGTGCATACAGGGAGCTCTGGTGGCACAATGCCTAAGGCACTTGACTGCTAACCAGAAGGCTGGTGGTTCAAACCCACCAGCCACTCCTCAGAAGGAAGACTGGTCAATCTACTTCCATAGTGATACCACCTCGGAAGCCCAAGGAGGGGTCACTATGAGTCGAGTCCCACTCGACAGCAGTGAGTTTGGTTTGGTTTAGTGTATACATAGGAAAGTGTTAAGAAGCAAGATACCACTTTAAAGACTAAGGTACACCTGACCCAAGCCATGGTACTTTCACCTCATATGCATGTGAAAGCTGGACAATGAATGGGGAAGACAGGACAAGAGTTGATGCCTTGAACTGTGGTGTTGTCAAAGAATATTTGAATACCATGGACTGTCAGAAGGACGAACAAATCTGTCCTGGGAGAAGTGCAGCCAGAATGCTCCTTAGAAGTGAGGATGAGCAGACTTGGCCTCACCTACTTTGGTCATGTTGTCAGGAGGGACCAGTCCCTGGAGAAAGACATCATATTTGGTAAAGTGGTTGTTGTTGTTGTTATGTGCCGTTGAGTCAGACTCGACTCAGCGACCCCTCCTTGGGTTGCCGAGGCAGTATCACTACAGATGTAGATGGCCCAATCTTCCTTCCGAGGAGTGGCTGGTGGGTTTGAACCACCAGCCTTCTGGTTAGCAGTCAAGTGCCTTAGGCACTATGCTACCAGGGCTCCTTTGGTAAAGTAGAGGGTCAGTGAAAAAGGGGAAGACCCTCAAGGAGATGGATTGACCCAGCGGCTGTGACGATGGGCTCGAGCGTAGCCTGGACTGTGAGGATGGTGCTGGACCAGACAGTGTTTTGTTCTCATAGGGTCTCCCAGGGTCTCTCTAAGTCGGAGCTGACTGCATGGCACTTAACAACAGTGCATCCTGAATGCTCACTGCATGACGGTTGCCGCATGTGTGTGGTTGATGTTTCCAAGGTGCTGGAGGTGGTTGTAGTCATCATTGATTGTGACGATGATGAAGGTCATGACGAAGGAAGAGGAGAAGGTGCAGGAGGAAGATCTGTGAGGAGGACAGATCTGTGGCGGAAGCAGATTCTAGCCCAGCTCTCCTGACCTCCAACTCTGTATTCCCTCTACCATTGAGTATTACAGTCTTACCCTTAGTAAGGAAAACAAAACTCTTCACAACTGCACGAATAAGCAGCGTCATGATAAAGGGAGAGAAGATTGAAGTTGTCAAAGACTTCACATTGCTTGGTTCTACAATCAACACCTATGGAAGCACCACTCAGGACATCAGATGACATATAGCACTGGGCAAGTCGGCTGCAAAGGATCTCTTTCAAGTGTGGAAGAGCAAAGATGTCTCCTTGAGGACTAAGGTGTACCTGACACAGGCCATGGTATTTTCAATTGCCTCATATACATGTGAGAACTGGACAATTAATAAGGAAGACCAAAGAAGAGTTTATGCTTTTGAGCTGTGGTGTTAGTGAAGAGTGCTGAAAGTACCTTGGACTGCTAAAAGAACTAACAAATCTGTCCTGGAGGAAGTGCAGCCAGAATGCTCCTTGGAATCGAGAATGGCCAGACTTTGTTTCACCTACTTTGGTCATTGTCAGAAGGGACCATTTCCTGGAGAAGGATGTCATGCTTGGTAAGGTGGAGGATCGACGAAAGAGGGGCAGGCCTTCAACAAGATGGATTGACACCGTAGCTGCAGCGATGGGCTTAAGTATAGCAAGGATCATGGAGCTGGCGTGGGACCGGGTGGTGTTTCGTTCTGCTGTGCACTGGGTTGCTATGAGTCAGAGACGACTCGACGGCACCTAACAACAACAACACTCTTAGTAACACTTGGATCGACAGTCAACACCCAAGGAAGTAGCAGTCAATAAATCAAATGACACATTGCATTTAGGCCAATCTGCTTTAGAAGACCTCTGTAAAGCTTTAAGAGTGAAAATGTCACTTTGAAGACTAAGGTGTACCTGACACAAGCCATATCTTCAGTGGCCTAATATATGTGTGAGAACTGGACAATGAAAAAGAAAGACAGAAGTAGAATTGATGCATTTGGATTGTGGTGTTGACAAAGAACATTGAATGCACCGTGGACTGCTAGAAGAACAAACAAAGCTGTCTTGGAGGAAGGACAGCAGAAATGCTGCTGGGAAGAGAGAATGGCCAGACTTCATCTCTCGTACTTTAATAACGTTGTTAGAAGGGACCAGTCCCTAGATAAGGATATCATGCTTGGTGAAGTAGAGGGTCAGTGAGATGGATTGACACGGTGGCTGTGACGATGGGCTCAAGCACGACACTAGGAGGACGGCACAGGGCTGAAGCATGTTTTGTTCTGCGGAACATGGGGTCACTCTACGTTGTAACAACTCAACACCACCTAACGAAAACAACGAGTCTCAGTAAGCCCCTGGAGAAGGACGTGATGCTTGATAGAGTAGAGGGTCAGTGGAAAAGAGGAAGACCCTCAACGTGATGGGTTCACAGTGGCTGCAACGATGGGCTAACACCTGGCAACGCTCGTGAGGACGGCAGCAGGACTGAGCAGTACTTCGTTCTGCTGTCCGTAGGGTTGCTGTGTCACTACCAACCAGACGGCAGCAACTTAGTGCCATCGACTACAGACACCTCTGATGTGGTTTAACGTCCACCGAGTGCTTCCCCACACATCTTCTTGCTTCTGTTTTAGGTTAACTTTGTGAAGCAATCTAATACCCATTGGCAGATAAAGAAACTGAGACACAGAGAAATAAAATGACTTTGCCCAATTCCAACAAGTCAGTTGCAGAACTGAGATTTGAACTCGGATCTCCTGGATTGAGAAATGATGTTTCCTTGACCATCTTATGGCTCCTTGTGGTAAGATCAACCTTGCTTTTCTCTCTAAAAGATCAAACTAGTATTTACGAAGGCCGAGTCCTGCGCTCACTCCTTGGAAATGAATTGGACCCACTCATTGTCTTGAAGAAGGTCACAGGCTAGTGAGTCAGGCAGACATTTAAAGAAATAAACAAGGGCTTCCTGTAAAGATGACAGACTCAACCTGTATCTTCTCATACTCCCTCCTCAAATCAACCCAGTTGGCATCGAATCGATTCTAATGCATGACAGCCCCACATGTGCTGAGTAGAACAGCTCCATAGAGTTTTCAAGATTGTGACTTGTCAGGAGCAGATCATAGGGCTTTCTTTTGAAACACCTTTAGGTGAACTTGAACCACCAACCTGTTGGTTGGGAGTCGAGTGCCACCCAGGGACTCCCTGTTCCCTCCCCAAACCCTGATCAAAAGACAATAAAGGGACAGCTCAGAAAGCCATACGCTCAGAAGAATGGAGAGGGTGAGGCAGGAGACAGAGGATCAAATGTCAGAAGCTGCATAGCAGATGGATAGACTGCAAAGGAAGCTACTGAATCCTAAACTAATGGGATTAGGGCCCAATCCGACTTCCATCAAGGGATGGGCTGCTCCCGGCACCTCTGGAAATGGAATGAACTGGGCTTGGCTAAAACGAGGAAAGGTGATTGATCATTTGTTCAAGGAAGAGTTAAAAACTGAGTCTTCCGTCCAACTTCAGGCACCAAGGGACACGTCCCCATGGGGGCTCCCTGGAGGAGACTGGGGAGAACGCACGTGAAGCCCCGATGAGGACTGGAAATGCCAATCTGGCTGTATGGTTGTCGATGTGGAGAAGCCCAACTTCTCCCAGTTGTGTCCTAGAAGGCCCCTGGGCACACAAATGGTTCGCTCTCATCTACTAACCTAGAGGTTGGGGGCTCGAACCCACCCAGCGGTGCTGCAGAAATAAATCCTGACAATCTGCTTCTGTCAAGATTATACCCAAGAAAACCCTACACTCTACTCTGTCACACAGGGGTCACCATGAGTTAGAATCAGCTTGTAATGAGTTTTGGGGGTTGTTTTGTATCCTCGAATGCCGACAGCAGGGCTTCAACCTCCAGGCAAGAGATTGGAAGAGCGTTCTCTGGGGCACCTGACCAGCCAGGGTGAGAGACCCTTAAATGTGGAATGTAGCAATTCCCAAACTAAACATCCCAGCCCAATGATTCCCAGGGAAGCTAATATGACCAAGCCCCGTCCACACACTCAGCAGACCAATCAGCTCTTAGACCCTGTGAGCAGATCACCCAGGATGACCAGACATGGATGGAGCAGCACACCAATCAGGCAAACGTAACTCAGAGGAGATGAAGACCATCTGCAGGGAGAGAGAGAAATTAAACCAAGCTGTCATTAACACTGTTAGAGAACAAGGACCTTGTACCCCCGCATCAAGAAAAAGCCATTACAAAAAAGGAACATTTGGAGTCTGACCAAATGATCTCCCGGGAATTTAAAAGACAGCAGAGGTTTTACAAATTCAACAGACTTGTTGGAAGATGTACATTTGAGGAAGAGTCTTAGAATCTAGAGGAAAAGGACAGAGATGGAAAATAGAAGGAGGAAAAACGGGAATGAGACACACGGGGAGGAAGGGGGAAGAGGGTTGTTACATTGTAGGGGCTGCAATCAGTGCCACCAAAAAAAAAATGTGTATGAACTGTTGGATGGAAAAACAGTCTGCTCTGTGAAC